GTGTGTGTGTGTGTGTGTGTGTGTGTGTGTGTGTGTGTGTGTGTGTGTGTGTGTGTGTGTGTGTGTGTGTGTGTGTGTGTGTATTTTTCTTTTTTCTATCTTACCAATCGACAGTTTTGGAGTAATATTTTCATCAGTATCCGAATAATCGGTATATAAAAATAGATCTTGTCCTTTCAAACAAATCCAGTAACGTTTCCATTTACGATGTGATGCCAATTCAACACGTTGTCGTTGAGTTGTTAACCAATATTTAACATTTAACCATCTAAAATTGCATGCTTAATAAAATATGTTAAATAGCAGCTGTTTTCATTCATACCCAGCTTTTTTCAATGAACTATCATGTACTATTGATAAATCATAATCATTATTATTATTATTTATTGGATTGCTATTAATGTTTGATAAAGATTGTTTTAATTTTGAAGTACTGTTTTCACTACTACAACAACTACTATTACTGTTGGTTGATAAACTACGTGATGATGGTACTTTTTGTATATTACCCGAATCGAAATGTTCTAAAAAACAAAGAGACAATGATTAAATCTTTGAAATGTTCATTCAAAGCTTGTACGTTAAAAATTTCTTATATAACACAATCGTAAAACTCATTCATATTAAAAATATATTTTTGTACTTCATTTCTTATTTAATTAGATATCGTTCGATTTAGATGTGTAATATAGAAAAACTTCTAGTAGTTTTGATTTATAATCATCAAAATCAGCTAATATTACAGAGATGTCAATTATAGTATTGTTTTCAGGCTATTATCTATTTATGTTGACAAAAAAACAATAGAAATCTTATCACATGTGAATGAAGAGCAAAGTCAATTTTGCAATTTTTTTGATACGTATTCGTTAAAAATCAACAAAAAAAAGTTTAAAAAAAGAAAATAGTCTAAATCTTAAGCTGAATGGAATCATTTTCTATTTCTACTATAACGACATTCATAATATGTGTTAAGAGTTATTTCATCTACGTTTACGTAAGGTGTATGAGATGAATAATGAAAGAAAGATTTTTATATCTTTTATATGTTAATCTTGCAAAGTATTTAAATGACGCAAGATAGTCAACATACAAAAGATGCACACAAATCGGTTTATGTCAAGATAAAAAAAGAATAGTGTGAAATAAAAAAAACAGGGATAAAACATTATTTACCTGGTACAGAAATTTTTTCAAGTGATAATTTTTGAAAATCATATGTACTAAATTTTCCTGATCCACTGTCTCTTGCCGATAAACCATCACCAATGCCACTATCTGTTCGTTCTGATTCATTATAACTTGAACGTTTTATTTGTGTGTTGTCGCTTAACGTTCGAATTAATTGATGAATAGTATTATCATTTTCAATGGAAGTCGGAACTGTTCGTTCCGGTGAAGTTTTTTGACTATTATCATCATTAATAATATGATCTAATAATGATCCAATTGATTCTGATTCAGTATCAGACAATACATTGTTATTATCAACAGTATCAAATTCTGGAGTATTCAATGATGATGTTGCTAATTGACGTTTTAATCTACACGCGGATAATGGTGTCGAAGTTTCATCTATCGTGGATGACACAGAAAAGGCTTGAGTAGCATCAACTATTGTTGAAACAGAATCATTATGTTCCAAACTATAGAAATACATAATAAAAACACTTTTTCATCTAAAATAAACAAAATCAGATTGTATTTACTAGAAATTAGTTATCTGGAAAAATTGTCATACAACATTTCTTCGACTTTTTCTTACCTCAACTAAAACATCTATGGAGTATTTAAACTCTGAAAGATGAATTAGCCATAAATTAGTTATATTGACAAAATTCTAACAGATAAAATATGTCTAGAGAAGCTAATGAGTATGGTCTCAAGGCTCAATTTGAACATAGCATTAATTACACTATGACTGTTGCTAATCGCTTGTACACTTTTTTTTGATCTTTTTTTTTTTGCCTTCTTATTTGTCCAGATGTTAATATCGTTTAAATCGAGAACTAGACTAGATACATATGCCGTTACTTCTTCTAGTAAATTTGTCTTTGTTTGTTTGACACAAATTAGGGGAAAAAGGATACGAAAAGAAACGTTCTATTGATTATAATCAATCATGAAAGTGAAGGAGTAAATAGCTACTAGACGAATAAAAGAGTAAGATAAGGTAGACTTAAGTTATTTGTGAGATAAACGACAATAAAAGAAAACGAAGGAAGGAAACTGCGACTCTAAAGTGCTTTGATGTAAAAACATCGAAGAAAAAATAATTGTCGATGCTGATAAATTCTAACTATTAAAGGTAAATATGATTTGAACAGTTTTACACTGGAAGATCAAGTTTTATAAGCTCTTTTTTTTCGTTTATCAAATATTGTAAAAAGTACAGAGATATTCGTTGTCTTTCTGTGATATTCTATCAATATTTCAGTATGCATATTGCATACTGTAGTGCTCGGCCATTTCGTCCCCATACTTCAATTCATTATTTCTTTCATTATTTGAGAAAAAATTATGAGAGTGTACAAGAGAGACAGGTTCACAGTTAATCACATATTTATTTGAGATACTTGAGAATTTTAACATAAAAACTTCAGACTATAAATGTTCGATATAAAAACGTATAATACCCAAACAAATCCTCTTTATTTCTTATTCTTGTCCACTAGAATTAACGTCTGTTAAAAAGTAAAACTGTCAAGTGTTACTAAGAAGCAGCCAATATCATCAAGGACGTTTTCCTTCCCTTCTTCTTCTACATTGGAACTTTCACTCCCTCAGTAAACGAAACTACAACATTTATGTTTTTCTGCAATAGAACATGAATGAAATGTTCTTTCCTTTAATCAGACTACTTTTTCTTATTTCATTTCACCCAATGCTGAAAACTAACAATTACTAGAAACACCTTTTTAATCTAAAATTAATTATTACTTACCAAAATCACAATATGTATGAACCCTCTTATACAGTTTCTTTTTTAGTACAAATAAACACTTTTAAAAAATGTGCTTTACAATAGAAGGAGAAAAACAAAAATATATTCTTTACTCTTTCGTTTCTTTTTTCGTTTTACGTCTTCATATATTTTTTTGAAAAAACAAGCCACGAATTTTTGTTCAAGTAGATTATAAGCTGTTTTCGATTGTTCACAAAACAAAGCAACAAGAAAATGAAACCGCATTTCAATTATCCTTCTATTTACACCTCTTCTTTTTATTTATTCACAAAAATTATATGAGACAAAAAAAAAATACAATCTTTTTACATAATCAACGAGTAGAAAGTATATGTCGATGTGTGGTTTAGTGCTACAGTTATCCTTAGATAATGAATCAGATGCACTGTTATATGACTACTTCAAAGAATTAACTTTTATGTACGATCAGTTGTGGACTGTGTACACTAAATGTTCTAGAAGATATATTCGGATTATAAGTTACGTTTATTACGCAGCTTATCAGCTAAATACTAGAACGATCGTCTCGAAGCTTTAAATTTAGTACGATCTTAGTTGTTCTGGCGCTCCTGTAGTAAATGAAAATACACTGCCGTTGCCTAATATTAGCTTGACTGAATACATTCAAAGATTGACTTTTTGTTTTAATAACACTCGATTCTTTTTTGCTGATCATGAACTCTGCGGGAATTCGATACATATGTTTCACTGGTTATTAAATCTTTGAAGGAAGCATAATTTTTTTACACAGTAGAGTAACTGTTTAGTATAGAGTGGAAAAAATAGCTTTCAGGCTGATGAATACGGATATCTGTCCTTGATGGAAAGAAAGATCTTCAATTTGTTGTTGTTGTATTAAATTAAAGCTCATTATGGAGAGATTACTGTGAATAGAATAGTAAAATAAACATATAGTGCTTAGAAGGGGGAAAAGGGGAAGTAATTGATCTGATTAAATGATTTAGATTACACACAATATTTGGTGGACAGTAAAGAAAAATGTTGTGATTTCGTCATGCCATTACATAAATGCGCACAAAGAAATAAGAGATGTGAATGAAAAGCCAAAAACATTTCTTGATTATGTGGTATGAAAACACACACACACACTGTTTTTTTAAAGAAAATCACCAGTTTTCAAATCGATTTTAATCATATATCGAAGAAAATTCAAGCTTGCGTTTAATTTAACTTATCAAACAAGAAAATGGCAAAACAGACAAACAAAAATATGCTTACATACAGCCTCTCAGCTATTTTATCAACGAAATTAATACTTCTCTGCATCAACTAGTTACTGTATCAAAAAATGTGTCATGAAAACATCACTCTGTCTATAGCTGAATAAACTAAAATCTCGTGCTGATAATGCCCTTTTTATATTCACTCTCATATATTCGTAGTCAACATCTGAAGTGGCAGTGTGAAAATAACAGAGCTACATAATTATCATAAAAATATACTGATATAAAACAATAAAAAAGAAACAAGAGAAAAAGTTTTTGTTAATAATCAACAACGATAACAAGAGTGCTTGATGTAATTTTTTTACGAATGTTGATGAACAATAATGATCGCAGTCTAATAATGAAAAGTGTTCATTAGGCTTAATCTATTATTTGAATCAAATACTTATATATTATGATCAGAAAATACAACTTGTTTTTGTTGTTGGTATTCTATAGACGATCATCGTCTTCTTTCCCATAGACATGTAAAAATATGAGAAAAAATATTATTAATCATTTAATCGTAATACTCCGAAATAGAACAACTTATGTAGAAATGATTTACACGCGTTTCTCTCTTTTTTTTTCCAATAAATTAAATTATCTTTAGATTCCGAGATTGACATTTAATGAAAAATGTTTTACAATTAGTATTTATCCCAATATTCTGAGACATATTCAAAAAAGAAGCAAATGTGAAACATCTTGTTTTCCTCTCAAAAATATTGAAATAAACAACAGCAAGCAACAAGACAGTATTATCAATGTATATAGGATTAAATGGCTTTCTGTTTAAATTCTGGAAAAAATCACTTAATGTCGGAGACAACACATTCAAATCAAATTTTGAAAATACAAATTAAATTAAATTATTAAATGTTGATAGGCTTGCTTTTTCTTTTGTCGAATATATAAAATTAAATCAATCAAAGTTGAACATGAACAAAATGAAACCTTGAACAAACCTTTGTCTTTTTCTATTTAAAACTTATTACAAAAGTGGCACCCGTGCTTACGTTCATTAGAGAGATTTCTAATCTTCTCTTTTCTTCTATATTCTCTCTATTTAGATATAAATCGAGAGAGAGAGAGAAAAAGCATGTAGATAGATATATGTCCTTACGGCTTTATATTATAAGGCACCACTATATATAGTCTATATATAAATATATAAATATATATGAAGTGAATAAATGTATGGAAAATAGGACATGTCGTGTGTACGAAACAAAAACCGAGATAACAACAAAAACTCTCTATGAAAATTCTTGAACGTGCTTTGTTCAAGAACATAATTTTATTTATCAAAAAGAAGAAAGAGTTCTTATGTCGTTTTTTATTAGCACGAAGCTATTGAGTTATGTTCATCTTTCGAAACGATAAAACAACTTAAGGGAACTTTCCGTCAGGAATTCGATTTTTCTTCGAAACCTTCGAAATTGAAGTAACGATACGGTTGAGTATCCCAAACTGTCATCTTTCAGAACCAATCTCAGTTTGCTAGAAATTTAATGTTTTTGAAAGTTTTTGAAAAAGATTTCTGAAAACCCTAGAAACCACCTCTTTCTAAATTTGAAATTTCACTTAAAATTTTTACAGTTGTCCGTATTACCAGACGCGGAGCTATATTGAGCAGAGTGTTCTAATCAAAATGAGATATAATGAGGTTTGTAAGACTTCGCCTTGCAGAATTAGAGCCGTTTTGCTAAAGGCACTAGATTATAAAGTGATGACTTTATAAAAAACGTTTTTTCTGAGGTTGGTCCCTTGGAAACTATTACTAGTAACTCTATAGTTTTCTAAACCGTTAAAAACCATGTGATAATGACAGGTGTCAGTCACAAAATTCAATACTTTACGATAAGAATTATTCTATTCATAGTTGTAAAACCGGCAGATTGTGTGATCATTTTAGATCATTCCTATATGTTAATCGAAAGTGACAAGTATAAACTCTATGATTCACTATACCAATGAAGACTCTCTCTCTTTAACATAATTAACACAATTACTATCTTCACTTTTCTATTTGCAACATTTTTCGATTATCGTTACAAGTGTTAAAAAATCAAATTTTTTGCATTTATAGACCATACGATGTGTGAGGCGTCTATCACATTTATAAGCATGTATTTACTCTGTATACTAGAAAAAAACTAATAGAATATAAGTTGAATGTAGTCGATTCTATATATATATATATACGTACACATCGGCTCCGATCCGAATAAAACAACATTCAACTATCATGTGTATAATGTATCACTTTTGAACTTGTGTGGTTTTGCCAATGAAATCTTAATTTTTATTGTACATATAGAAATTGAGAGAAAAAGAAATGTCAGCATGTGTGTGTGTGTGTGTGTGCATAAATATACTCAAGCAATCACTTGAATAATCGAAAACTAACAAACAATATGGATTATTTATAAGCCATAACTTGTTAACTTATAAACAGAGAAAAAT